CGGCGTGCGCGGACAGGGGCCCCTGGGCAGCGGCAGCCAATGGCGCCCTGCGGACACGATCCGGCAGCGCCCTGGCAGCCCCGCCGCAGCAGTGGGGCCCGCGGTGGTGTCACCCTGCTGGGCCGCGGAGCTGCACCGCAGCCGCTCCCTCACTGCCCCTCCTCAAAGGAATGGGGAGAAGGTACGATGGAAAAGGGCTCCAGGGTTGAGATAAGGACAGGGAGATTGCTCACCAATTACTGTCATGGGCAAACCAGACTCAGCATAGGGAGATTAATGTAATTTATTGCCTATTACTAACAGACTAGTACGGTGAGAAACTGAAAGCAAAGTACCCCCCCCCCCCCCATCCATCCTACCTCCTCTCCCTCAGTAGTGTAGGGGAACAGGGATTGGGGGGCAGCCCGTAACACTTCATCTGCCACTCCTTCATGGTCCCTCTCTGCCCCTGCTCCCCGTGGGGTCCCTCCCACGGGATGCCGTCCTTCCTGAACTGAGCCTGCGGGGGCTGCCCACGGGCAGCAGCTCTTCAAGCACTGCTCCCACATGGCTCCATATCCCACAGGGTCCATCCCCCAGGAACAAACTGCTCCAGCACGGGTCCCCCACGGGTGGCAGCTCCCCCCAGACCTCCTGCTCCTGCGTGGGCTGTCCATGGGCCGCAGCCTCCTCCAAGCCACATCCACCTTCTCCACTGGAGGCTCCTCCACTGCAGAACTTCTGCTCTGGTGCCTGGAGCACATCCTGCTCTCCTTCACTGACCTTCATATCTGTGGGATTGTCTGTTTTTCACTTCTCTCTTCCCAGCTGCTTTTGCGTGGCATTTTTTTCCCCTCCATGTTTTAACCACACACTCCTAGAGGCCCACCCAGCTTCACTCCCTGGCTTAGCTCTGGCCAGCAGCGGGTCCCTTTTGGAGCTGGCTGGAGTTGGCTCTGATCTCATGGGGGGCAGCTGCTGGGCTCTGCTGGCAGGGGGCACTGCTGCACCTCGGCCATCGCACCCGGCACACGGCGGGGATACCTCAGCCAATGGCGAACCGCCATGAGCCTTGCAGGAGCCTCGCAGCCTCAGCCAATCACAACGTGCAGATATGATCCTTCAGCAGGCTCGTAGCCACAGCCAATCAAAACGAGCAGATATGATTCGTCAGTGGGCCCGTAGCCACAGCCAATCAAAACGTGCGGATATGATCCCGTATCAGCCTCTCTGCAGCAGCCAATCAAACCTTGGGGTTGCGATCCTTGCAGCAACCTGCCCATCTAAGCCAATCAAATCGGGCAGACGTGACCTTTACAGGAGCCTTGCAGTCTCAGCCAATCAAAATGTGCAGCCATGATTCTTGAGGCAGCCCAGAAGCCTCAGCCAGTCAAAATTAGCAGCTATTATCCATGCAACAGCCTCGCAGCCACAGTCAGTCAAAGCATGCGGACAAGAAGCTCACAAGAGGCTCGCACTGTCAGCCAATCACAGCTGGCTGCAGCAATGCCCACGGTGGCTGAGCAGCCTCAGCCAATCACCTTGAGCTCCCATCAGAGCTCCCAGGCTCAGCCAGTCTAAACGTGCCGGCATGGTTCTCCAGTGGGCTCACATCCCAGCCATCCATGGCTTAAGGACATGGCCCCTGGAGGAGGAAAGCAGCCCCAGCTGACCAGAGATTGAAGACACGGTGCTCACAGCAGCCTCCCAGCCTCAGCCAATCAAAACCCACAGACAGCTTCACAGCCTCAGGTAATGGCATCTTGAACAAAACGATGATGTCAGCAGACCCACAGCCCCAGGTAACCACAACGTGCGGACACGGTGCTTGCAGCTGTCTTACAGACTCAGCCAACCCAAACCGCAGACATGATTCTTCAACAGCCTCTTAGGCTCAGCCAATCAGAACTCAGGGGCATGACCAGAGGGTGAGGAGAGCAGCCTCAGCCAATCACAGCTTGCGGACATGATGCTCCTGGCAGGCCCAGCCAATCAAACAGCACGGACACAGCTCTTCATCAGGCTTGCGGCCTCAGCCAATCAGAACATGCAGACACGATCCTTGCCACAGCCTGACATTCTGTGCCGACCACAACGTGCAGACGGGATCTCCAGCAGCTTTGAAGCCTCAGCCAATGACAAAGCGTGAACGTGATTCTTCTGCAGGATCACAGCCTTGGCCAGTCACAACTTGTGGACCTGATCCATGCAGCAGCCTTACAGCCTCAGCCCATGGTGTTTTGTGGGCACGATTCTTTAGCAACCTCGTAAGCTCAGCCAATCACAACTCATGGGTATGATTCTTGTTTCAGGTTCGCCACATCAGTCAGTCAGAATTGGTGCACGTGATGCTTGTGGCAGCCTCACAGGCTCAGACAATTGAAAAGTGTGGACATGATTCTTCTGCGGGCTCACAGCCTCAGCTGATCAAAACTCCCAAATACAATCCTTGCAGTAGCCTAGCAGCTTCAGCCATGCAAAAGCAATGGACATGATGCTTGCAATAGCTTCACAGCCTCAGTCAGTCAAAACTTGCAGACGTGGTGCTTACAGAAGCCTCTCCACATCAACAGCCAAAAGCTGCAGACACGATCCATGCAGGGGCCTTGCGACCTAAGCCAATAAAAAAGCATGGCTACATTCCTCAGCAGGCTTGCAGCCTCGGCCAATCACAACACAAGGACTTGAACTGCGTGAGGAGGATAGCAGCCTCAGCCAATCAGAACTCACGGCCGTGATCCTCGCAGCAGCCTAGCAGCTTCAGCTAAGCCACATTTGCAGACATGAGGCTTACAGCAGCCACACAGCCTCAGCCAATCAGAATCTGCACACACGGCTCCATCTTGCAGGCTCAACCAATCACAACTTGAGGACATGATTCCTGCGGCAGCTCCTCACGCTCAGACAATGGAGTCTTGCAGACATGGTGCTTACAGCAGCCTCTCCGCATCAATCAATCAAACCATGTAGACATGATCCCTGCAGTGGTCTTGAAGCCTGAGCTGATGAAAAAGTGTGGGTATGGTTGTTCAGCAGGCCTGCAGCCTCAGCCCATCATAACTCAAGGACACAACGTTTGTAGGGAATAGCAACCTCAGCCAATCAGAAGCTGCAGATATGATCCTTGTAGGAAGATGCTAGCCTCAACCCATCAGAATATGTGGTCACCATCCTTGCAGCAGCCTGGCAGCCTCAGCCCATGATAACATGCACTCACAATCCTTGCAGCAGCCTGGCAGGCTCAGCCAGTCAAAGAGCACAGACACAGTTCTTCACCAGGCTCACAGCCATCAGAATTGGTGGACGTGATTCTTGCAGCTTCTTCACAGCCTCAGATCATGGCATCCTGTGGACACGGTGCTTACAGCACCCTCACTGCATCAACCCATCAAAACATGCGAACATGATCCTTACAGGAGCCTCGCAGCCCCAGCCACTCAAAATCTGCAGACATGATTCTTCAGCAGCCTCAAAGCTTCAGCCAATCAAGACCGGTGGACATGGTCCTTGCAGCAGCCTCACAGCCTCAGCCAGTGGTGTCTCACGAACCTGATTCTTCAGCAGTGTTGCAGGTTCAGGCAGTCACAACTCAGGGCCACGATCCTTGCATCAAATTTGACGCACCAGCCAGTCCAAGCTCATGGACATGGTGCCTGTGGCAGCCTCTGCACCTCAACCAATCACAGAGTCCATCCTGCCTGCCGTGAGGCTGCCCATAGCAGCTTCAGCCAATCACCTCTCACCAATGTGATCCTTGTAGGAAGGTGTCAGACTCATGGAATCCCGGAGCGCTTTGGGTTGGAAAGGACCTAAAAAATATCTAATTCCACCCCCCCACCATGGGTAGGGCCCCCTGCCCCCAGCCCAGGCCGCCCCCAGCCCTGTCCAGCCTGGCCTTGGGCACTGCCAGGGATGGGGCCCCCACAGCTCCTCTGGGCAGCCCATGCCTCTGCCTCACTGCCCTCTGAGTGAAGAATTTCTTCCCTATATCTAATGTAAATCTCCTCTCTTCTAGTTTGAAGCCATTACAAGCCGGTGGCCACTGATGTTTTCTCTGGTGAAACGGGCATGGGTTGTTCCTTTCTTCACCCTGCCCTATGGGGCATGTGTGCTTCATTTTAGGTGCTTCGCTCTGGTGTCACCCCAGTGACAAGCACAGTGCTGGGGCAGCTCTGCACCCATGGGTGCTGGTGGCCCCCTCCTGCAGAGCCCGGTGTCCTTTCGCCTGGATTTTTGCCATCTTTCCCCTCTTCAAATCAGCAGTGTTAAATCTGGTCACAAACGAGGTTTTTATATGAAGGCTGTACCAAATATGGCTTCTCAGTACCCAAGGCTATTTTATTCCCTTTTCCCACCAAGCAATGATGTTTATGTTCCCGTCTGCCTCTTTCTTCCACCGCACTGCGCACTGGATCCTTCTCGCAGCCCTTGATGTCCCTCCAGCCGTGACTGCCAGGCCATCCCTCTGTGCCAGTCCCGGCCCCGTGCCCTTTGTCTCTGATGTTCGGCTGGGGAAGGCTCCCAGCAGCTGGCACTGCGGGGGCTGCTCCTCCCCGGGACCCAACGGGCCGTGCTCCTTCACCGCCCTCAGAGTGGCTCAGCACGGGGGGGGTCGCCGCCGGTGGCCGCCCTCCGGGGGGCTCCCGGCCCCACGCACCTGGGGGCCGGTACCGAAACGGGGGGGCGGGGCGAGGCGAGCCAGGGCCCCGCCCACGACCCCCGGAGGGCGTGGCCAGCCGCAAGGCCCCGCCCAGGCGACCCCTCCCCGCCCGGTCACCGTAGCCCCGTGGCGGGGGCGCCCCCTGGCGGCGCGGCCGGGAGCAGCTACGGGGGCCGGGGCCGTACCGGGCTGTACCGGGCCATACCGGGCCGTACCGGACCGGGTCGTGCCGGAACGGGTCGGGCCGGGCCAGCCCTGGGTCGCCCGCAGGGGCCCAGTTCGCGGCCAGGGGGAGCGGCTGCACTCGCAGCCCGTGCCGCGGGGGGAGCAGCCGCGAGTTCCCGTTGAGCCTCCCCGGGGCGGGGGCGCGGGGCCCCCGGTTCTCTGCCCGCCGGGCCCGGGGCCGCCCCCCCGGCGCGTTTCCGGGGCGGGCGAGGGGCTTCCTGCGGGGGGGCCGCGGCCGCCGCCGGCCCCGTTCTGCTTCCGGCGCGTCCCGGGCAGCCGCCGGGATGATCAACGCCGTGCTGGTGTTCAACAACCACGGCAAGCCGCGCCTCGTCCGCTTCTACCAGCACCTGGTGCGGGGCCGGGGCCGGGGGGCGGCGGGGCTCGGCTGGGGCCGGGGGGCGGCGGGGGCGGGCGGGGGGCGCTGGGTGCGCAGCCCGAAGGCACGGCCGGGGCCCGTGGGGGTCCGGGCGGCGGTGGGGCTCCGGGCTCTGAGCTCCGAGCTCCGGGCTGTGTGCCCCGTGCCCTCCCGGCCCTCCCGGCCCTGCCGGCCCCGAGCACCGCGGGCGCTCCGCGTCTCCCCGGGCCGCCGTTCCATGGCCGCCTGCCCCCGGCTCCCCGCAGGCGGAGGAGGTGCAGCAGCAGCTCATCAGGGAGACCTTCCACCTGGTGCTCAAGCGCGATGAGCACATCTGCAACTTCCTGGAGTGCGGCAGGTAACCGCCTGCCCCTGCCGAGGGGCGGCCTGGGGGGGCTCAGCCCCGGCCCCGCTCCTGAAGCCCCTCGCCCGTCCCCGTGTCCCCGCAGCCTGTTCGGCGGCGCTGACTACAAGCTGATCTACCGGCACTACGCCACGCTCTACTTCGTCTTCTGCGTGGACTCCTCCGAGAGCGAGCTGGGCATCCTGGACCTCATCCAGGTCCGTCTGCGGGGGGACCCCGCTGCCAGGGGGTGGCCGCCGTGGGTGCGGGTGCTCAGCCCCTGGGTGCCTGGGCAGAGACCCTCGCCCGGAGCAGCTGGAGGTGCTGTGATGGGCAGCGGGCGCTGCCAGCAGCGGGGACAGCACGGGCTCTTGCTCTCCCTGAGTTGTGCCCAGACCCTTCCTCCTGGGCTGGGCGCTGGCGTGATGGGGCTGGATGCTGTGCACAAAGGCCGTGTCCCAGGGCAGCGCTGTGCCCGCACCGGGTGCAGCTGTGGCAGTGCTGGGGACACCCCTGGACCCCGAGTTGGGGTGCTGGTGCTGGCAGGACAGCGGTGTCCAGGTCCCCGGGGAGCCCGGTGCCAGCGCAGTGACAGCAGCACCGGGTGTCTGTGCCCTCAGCCCATGCCTCTGTAGCAGCACCAGCGCTCTGCTGGGCCATGGGGAGGTGCCTTACCCCCTGTGCGGTCCCTGCTGGCTGCCTGGCCTCCTCAGCCTCCCAATGGTGCTTACATGTCTGAAACACGCCTGTGCATGGAAGTGACAGAAGCTGCTCTGTGAACGCAGCCAGACCCAGACCATGCTGCCAGGTGCTGCATGTGTTGGCTGACATGGCTTAGAACTCACCTGTGGGGAAACACTGGGGCAAGTGCACCTCAATGAATGTATTAGTGTGTTTTTAAATCATGTTCAAGCCCTGTGTGGGCATCTAAAGTGGCCCTTGCTAAATCCAGTAGAGGCACACGTGAGAGTGCTGGCGCAGCAGGCTGTGGGAGGATGCGTGCCGTGCCCGGATCAGCTGTTGGGACTGCGCAGTTCCCAGAACTTGGCCCCTTTCAGGCGGTTCCAGCCGGCTGCAGGACAGCCCTGAGCACGCTGACCAGCTCTTGTCCCACGTGGCTGCAGTGGATCCAGGCACCAACACCTGGGTTTCTCCCCCATAAAGGCCAAGCTCTGCATTTCGGTGCAGTTGTCCATGTGCCAGGTCCTTTGAGCTTGGCCCTGGGTCAGATCCCTGCACCTGGACGTTCTGGGTGCCAAGGGCAGTGCCAGGAACAGGAGACAATAGCAGCCGGGTACAGAAACCTCTTCAGGGGAGCACTGCCTCTTGTTGTCCCAGCACCGTCAGGCAGTGCCCATGTGAAAGGCGTTTCCCTTGCCTGGCTGCGCCCCACGCGGGTCTGCCCAGCCTGCTCGGTGCCTCCCCTGTCCCCCAAATGTCCCTGGGGCACGGCTCCTGGGGAGCCTCGGGCTGGGAGGGTGGGGTTATTTGGGGCAGATAGGGTTATTTGGGGCAGGTAGGGCTGTTCAGGGCAGGTGGGGTTGCCAGGCCTTGGCCCTGGTTAGGCTGTGAAGAGCGATCTGATGGGTTCTGGTCGGGGCTGTACCTCTGTGGGTCCTGCTCTGCACTGACCTTCCCTTTCCTCCCCCCTCAGGTGTTCGTGGAGACGCTGGACAAGTGCTTTGAGAACGTCTGCGAGCTGGACCTCATCTTCCACATGGACAAGGTGGGTTCCAGGCTTCTGCCTGCTCCCCCAGTGCCTTCCTTGCCAGCCCCTCGCTGCAGTGCCCGCGGCCCCGCGTGCAGGGCCTGGCTCTGAGCCTGGAGGCTGTGTAAGGGCTGCCACGAGCTTGGGGCTGCCGTGCCCAGAGTGAAACCCTGCTGGGGCCGCGTGCTCTGCTGCAGTGTGCTGGGGCTCTGTGCCTGAGGGCTGCTCCTGGGGGCTGCCCCCGGGCGGCAGGCTCGGTGCCGTGGCTTTGCTCCTCACCTTCCACACAGGACGGGTGCTGATGGGGCTGTGCCTGGCTCTGGCTGCGTGTGTGGGTGCTTCACCTCCTCTGCTGTGCTGCAGGACACCATTTGGAGCCGTGTTAATGTTTTGGGGGAGTTGCAGGGAAAAAAAAAAGAGGAACAATGGAAGTATTTGGAATACAAAGTGTTTGGTAAACTTTCATTTGAGCCACAACCTCTAATGTTTCCTCTTCAGCTGGACAGAGCCTCTGGGCGGAAATGTCTTCTCTTTGATCGTCTCCTAGATGGAGCTGCAGATAGCAGGGTCTGTCCTTAGGGAAAGGAGGGTTAGGTGACGTGTGCTGGACTTGTGCTGCTCTTGATAAGGCTGTTCCTGCTTTCTTGAAGACAAAACATGCCAACAAAAAAAAAGGAGTGAAAAATCGATAAGGCTGTAAAAATGTTCCCTTCCTGTCGGTGATTCCAACTTAGGAACTGTCTGGCAGAGAAACAGAACCGGCAAATGTTCTTAGGTGACCTAGAGCAGCTGAATGTTCTAGCAGCTGGTTAGGTAAGACTTTGACTTTATTATTTGACTGGCTGTAAACTTTTAGAGATGTTACAAGGTTGATTATTTAGTCAGCAAAAGTGCTCTTATCAAAGCAAGCAAAAGAAGAGGAAGAGTAAGGATGATTATAAGAGGAGTTTTCAGGGAAGAAGTGATGTCAGCCACTGAAATCTGAGGCCACATCTTGGGTAGGGTGCACTTTCATTTGCTTTTGTTTGAGGCATGGCTGAGACCTGGCAGCTTTACCCTGAATCAGCAGCCCGCAGGCCGGAGAGGTTGCCCTCTTGCTCGTGCGCTTAGCCAGCAGTAGCACAAAGTGCCCTTCCTCCGAGCCCTTTTGCCAAGCTACAAGTTCAAAGGCGAGAAGTCAGGGAGGGTTTCTGATAGGGACAGTCCTGGTCCTGGGCTCAGCTTTCCCCAGGCTCGCTTGTTTATATCCGGTGCTGGGCTCCCTTTGTTTCCCAGCCTTGACTGTGGTCCTTGGCCGCTATCAGCCTGCCCTCCTGTTTGGCCCTGCTGTCTTTCTGTGTTTGGCATTTTTCTGTTTCTTGGAGGTCAGGCACCCGCTGTCCAAGTGCTTGGTGGTGCAGTGCTGGGGCACACGGCCATGCCCCCTGCTCTCCCCACTGCCCCTCGCACACCTGGGCAGGGCTGCGTGCGGCTGGGTTCCCCCTGCCACCAGGGGAACAAAATCCACACCGATTTTATGAGTCCATGACTAGAAGCGGGGGGGACTTAGGCTGACACCAACTGGAAAATGCTGGTTTGCTCAGCAGAGACGTTGGCTGAGAACGTGCTGAATGCAGCGGGTTCTGGCTGGGGCAGCAGCACGAGGTCCATGCCATTGGAGCCGTGTTCGTGGCCCCTGGCCCTGCAGCGCACAGCCGGGTCTACAGCTCCCAGGCACCAGGGGCACGTGTGCCTTTGGGCTGTCAGCTGTGGAAGCAGCGACCTTAGAGCTGCAGGGATCCCCCGGTCCCAAGGGGAAGCTGCAGGCACAGAAGTCATGGGGAGGCCCCAAGAAGGCTGCGGGGTGGGGTGGCCTCAGCTGCCCAGCCCCTGCGCCTTGTGCCTGAGGAGAACGTGAGCTTTGCCCAGCAGCTGCGAGCTCCCAGGGGGGGGACGTGGTTAGTTCAGGAAGCCCTGTGTTCAGTTTGGAAAACAAAAGGTTGTTGGGATTTCTGCCATGCTGGTTTAGGTCCAATTTGGACTGAAGCCAGATCTTGAAGGAACAACGTTTCCTGCATCCCAGATGCTCTCGGGTTGCAGGGAGCTGCCAGCGCCGTGCGGTTCAGGGTGTGTGGGGGGTGGGTGTGAACCAGGACGGTGCTGAGGGGGGTGCACGGAGGTGGCTGGGCTGCCGGGGTGTCTCGGGCAGGCAGGGCTGTGCCGGGCCCTCGCCGTGCTGCTGCCAGGCTGGTCCCACACACCGTGGAGCTCCTGGCACTGACAGATCCAACAGAGAGGCTGTGGGGGCACCGGGCCCGTGGCTTGCACAATGCTGGATTTTCCCCTCCTCGGGGAGGGGTTCTCGGTATTGTTTTGCTTTTCAGTGCATTGCTCTGGCAGTGTTTGTCGCACAATATTCGCAAGTGCAATCAGCCCTCATGCAGCCATAAAACGATGTAATAACTTAACAATCTTCCAGGAATAGCATTATTTCAGCGGAAGTATCCAAAGAGCCATAAACTCATAATCTGTGCTGGATGGTGCTGGAAGCTGCCGACTCAGCAGGGAATGTGGTGCTGTGCAGGTTGGCATAGCCAAAGGTGTGTTGCTGCAGCACAGCATGTCCCAGCCCCCTGCGGCCCCTTTATCTTGTTTTCCTTGGATTGCCAACCAAGATGGGCCTTGTCCAGGGCGGTGTTTGTGGGGCATTGCTGGTGTCCTGGGGCTGGTGGGAGGCAGCAGCTCACAGCTCGGGGACTGCTCCGGCTTGTCCTTGGGCCTGGGTGACCCAGGGGAAGGAAGGGGACTCTCTTAACAGCTGTTGTGCCTTGTGTGTGTGTGCCACAGCCCCATCTTTTCTAATGGAAAGCAATGAAGCTGGGCTCTGCCTCTGGCCTGGCTTTCACTGGGAGGAAGCAGCGTGCCTGGAGGCTGCGGGGAGGCCCTGGGCATCCGTCAGAGGATGAGGCTGCCCCTCTGTGAGGACGGGGCTGTCCTCTTGCCCTCGGAGCTCTGTGTGCGGGGCTGTTGGGCCCGTGCTTTCTGGCTGAGAGGAGGAAGGAGCTGGGTTTGCCTCCGGTCGATGTCACCCCCAGCGTGGCTTCCACGCCAGCCTGCCCCTGTGCCCCCCCTGGCACAGCCACGGGCTGTGTTCGCAGCCTGCTCTTGTGTTCCAGGTTCACTACATCCTGCAGGAGGTGGTGATGGGCGGCATGGTCCTGGAGACCAACATGAACGAGATCGTGGCGCAGGCAGAGGCCCAGAACAAGCTGGAGAAGGCGGAGGTGAGTGGCGATGCCGCAGCTCTCCGGTGGGGACAGCCCGGGGGTCTGGGGGTGTGGGGAGATGTGCTCAGGTGTCGGTGTGGGGCAGCGGGGGGTCAAAACGTGTGCCTGTGCAAGGGGCTGGTGTCCTCCAGGCCGCGACGTGGGTGGGCAGCGAGTGGGGGCTGCCTCTGTGGGGCAAGAGGAGCTGGCACAAGCTGTGCGTGTCCCCGGGGAGGGGCTCGGGCAACGCCTCCCCAGCTGTGCTCCGTGTTTGGGAGCACGGGGAGCAGCCCCAGCACGGCTATCACCGTTCCTGTCAAGGTTAATAACGTGAGGCAGTGAAAAGTTTATGGCCCCTGTTTGCATTGTCATTGCGAAGATGCGGCCGTGATGTGATAGCAGGGAGGGAAACGCGGCCCCGGCCTCGGCAGATAGCGTGCTGTCAGCAGCACCCGAGCCTTGGGGAGGCTGCGTTTTGGGTGTGGGCCCTTCCCGGCAGGCTTGGGGCAGGGCTGCAGGCACTGGGCCCGTATGTGCTGCGTGTGCTGCGTGTGCTGCGTGTGTTGCGTGTGCCGTGCCACAGGCGTTGGGCCCTGTGTGTGCTGGGCCCTGTGTGTGCTGGGCCCTGTGTGCTGCCCCGCGGGGCTGAGCGGTCACCGCTCCCCTCTCGCCAGCAGGGAGGCCTCTCGGCCGCTCCATCCCGCGCCGTGTCGGCCGTGAAGAACATCAACCTGCCAGAGATCCCTCGCAACATCAACATCGGAGACATCAACATCAAAGTGCCCAGCCTGTCCCAGTTCATGTGAGCGGCCCGAGGCGAGGAGGGACCACGGCCTGGGCTCGCTCTGGCAGGGGGGCGCCGGTGGCCGCTGGGCTCCCCGTGCCTGCCCGGGGCTGGCAGAGGGCAGAGAGCAGCCGTGGGACCCGATGAGAGCGGAGCCGTGTCCGTCACCCCAGGCTGAGCCGTGCCCTCTGGCCGCCCAGCAAGGGTGGCTCTTCTTCCTCGCCCTCCCTCCGCGGTGGGTGCGCAGCCTCTCCTCTCTGTGCTGGGCACAGCCGGGTCCTGCCTCCTCCTGGGATCGTTCCTTGCAAAGCCACCCCTGTAGCTGATGGCTCCGGGAGGAGCTGTAGGTTGTCCTGCTTCTCTGCCCGCCCTGGGCTGGACGGCTCCGTGCCCTGCCCGGTGGCTCCATGCCCACCCTTGGGCCTGGTTGGGGCGGCACGGGGGCACCCCCTGAGGGGCACAGTGTTGGGGGGGGAGGGCGTTGGGGAGCTGTGCGCTGCCTCCGGGACCCCTGCCAAACGCTGCGGGGGGGCAGGTGGGGCCTGTCCACATGCCCCTGCTGTGCCCAGGACATGTGCATGCTGAGAGCGTGTCCTTCCTCCTAATAAACCACTGTGAGAACCTGTGTCTGGTGGGTGCTGCTGGCCTGGCTGGATGGGGATGCGGGGCTGGGGGCTCTGTGCAGCTCTGCCTGGGGGTTTCTGCCTGGCAGAGGCTGCTGGAGGGGTGATGGGGCCCTGGGGTGCTGCCCGATGGGTGCTGCATCCCTGGAGCAGGCGGGGGTGTGGGATGGCCACGCTATGGGGCTGGGACAGCGGCATCCCCTGCCCAGGGCCTTGGGCAGCTGGGCCCCCAACCCGTGCCCTCCCCGCTGCCCTCCTGCCAGGCCTCCCTGCCTGCTGTGCAGCGGAGCATCCCCATCCCTGTCCCCGTCCCTGTCCCTGCTGTGGCTGGGTGCTGGTGAGGAAGGGAAGGTGGCAGCCACATCTCTGCTCAGTGGTGCCCCTGTGCTCCCCCCTGGCCCCCCAGCCACCAATGTCCGGGCTGGCGCGGGGGCCCCTTCCTGTCCCGTTTCCCTCCCGCCCGCCCTGGCCAGCTGTGCTCCCGCGGGCTCTGCCTCCACTTCCCCGACAGGGAAACGGTGACTCTGCTTGGAAGGAATTTTCCTGCTGTCTCCCTCTCTGCAGCTTAACCCTTCCCCAGCTGCCCAATGTACACCCCAGCAGCTCGTCAGGTCACCTGAGCTGGGCAGCCGTTTCTTCATCGCTGCCAGCCCTCCTCCTCCTCCTTCTCCTCCCAGCAGCCGCCCGAGCCACGCGGTGGTGGGACGTGTCAGGGGTGGGACGTGTTGGGCTGGGACGTGTTGGGCTGGGATGTGTCATGGGCTAGGGCAGGGCAGCGAGGGGCTCAGCAGCGGTGCCGCCGTGCTCCAGGCAGCCCAGGGTGTGGGGGGGAAGGGGTCGATGGGCAGGCAGCCCCGGCTGCGCTGGGCCGTGACCCGTGCTCCAGCCCAGGCGCTGTGGTGGTCAGCAGCGCGTGCCTGGCCACACGTGATGATGAACCACTCGGGCACCTCCGGTAACAGCTCCGTCCTCGCCGCCCTTTCCTGTGTCCCACCAGAGCTTCAGCCCCGTGGGTCTGCACGACGCCGAGGGCCGTGGAGGCTGCTGCGGCTGGGTGAGTCCGGCTGCCTGCTCCGGCTGCTCCCTTGTCCCCCCTGCGTGCAGGGCAGTGAGAACAGGATGGGCCAAGCTCCCTGCCCTGGCCCCCACGCAGGAGGGCTGCAGCCCTGAGCCCAGCAGCGTGGGGACAGCCCCGGCTGGGATGGGGCAGGGGTGGCCGTGCGAGAGGAGAGACCTCAGGAGAGACCTCGCTCCTGCTGCCTGGGGCAGGGCTGCGGAGGCGAGAGGCAGAGCTGGCCCCAGCCCCTTGGCACTGGGAGGCTGCTGGGGGCTGGCCCGTCCCCGGCCAGGCTTTGGCACCGACGAGTTCCCGGGTTCCCCTGAGCTCAGCCGGGGCTTGCTTGTGGGAGCACGTTCCCTGCTCCGGCCTCCCTCCCTGGCAGTGCGATGGAGAGCAGCAGGACGGAGCCTGGCACATGCCCAGCCCTTCTGCAGGCACCTGCACACCCTCGACAGGAGTGTTTAACCTCTCCCTGCCACGGACAGGGGGAGACTTCTCCCCCGGCCAGGGAAATCCTGCAGGGTCAATGTTCCTGGGGTGCCCGGGTGCACTGCGTGCCGAGGGGCGCACAGCCAGGCTGTTGCTGCTGGCGGGTGGTGGCTTGTCCCCTGGTGGCTTGTCCCCTTCCTTGCCACCCCTAGGGACGAGTGTGCTGGCAAAGGCCGGTGTGAGGGAGGGGACACTCGGCAGGGTGCTGGGGGGCTCTGGGGGCTGGGCAGGCAGAGGTGTTTTGTCCCTGGCAGCGGGGCACGGGGGTGCCCAGGCTGCGCAGGGCCGGTGGGCAGCCTCCTCCAAGCAGTGCCTTCCTGATGGGGCGGCGGTGGCCAAGGTGGGGCCTGCAGCTCGCTGGCATCCCCGTCTGCCCTGGGGGGCCCCGGTGTGCCCAGACCTGGCAGCGCCTTCCCCAGGCAGTGGTGCCTCGCCCCGTCCCTGTGCCGGTGCTGTGCCGGACAGCCCTGGCACCCCGGCTGGGCTCTGTGCCGCGGCCCCCCTGCACCATGCCGTGGCCCCCCAGCCCTCCGGGTAGGGGCGGCCAGCAGCACAGGGGTTAAGGTGCCGAGGAACGGTTCAGGTTACTTCCCTTGGAGCACGAGGAGGAAACTTTCCTTCCTACTGGTGCCTGAACTAGCGGAGCAGAGAGCCCAGGCAGGGCGCAGGCAGGGCGCAGGCAGGGCGCCTCGATGGCAAGGGGGCAGGCGGGAGCCCCAGCACCTGCTGCACCCCACGGCTGAGTGCAGAAAGGTGGGTGCTGGGCAGACCCCCCCGCAGGGGCTGGGGGCCTGCCTGGGGTGCCCGTGGGCTGGGCTGGGGGACCAGGGGCTGCGCACACGCAGGGGACACAGCGGGACCGTGGCGTGTGGGACGGGGTCTGGCAGCGTGCTCGGGGCTGTGGCGCTCATGTGCATGGGGGCTGCGGAGCACGCATGTGATGGAGGGGCTCCGGGGGGGTGAGAGGTTATGGAGTGGGCGTGCGGCTCAGGAGAGCTACGGGGAGCTGGGAGCTGTGTGTGCACCCTGGGGCTGGAGGTGGTGAGCAGGGAGACCCCACACCGCTGCCCGCCTGTGCGCTGTGGGCAGGGACCCGTGTGGAGGTGGGGGCTCTGCGGGGAGGCTGGGGGCTGCGTGCACTGGGGAGGGGGAGATGGAGCAGGGGGTGGTGTGGGGTGGTGCAGGCAGCCGTGCTGGGCTGGGAGCGGTGTGTTGGGGGGCTGCAGTCTGCAGGTGAGAAGTACGTGGGGTTGGGCGCTGGGGTCTGCGTGGGAGAGCTGGCTCTGCAAGGGCACAGAACAGTGGAGGGCGTGTGGGGCTCCCCCGGTCTCCAGGGTGCCATCACAGCCATGGCTTGGGGTATGTTGTTTCCTGATCCCAGTTCCCAAAGCCAGGTCAGGAGCCTGGCTGTGCTACAGGGGGTGGAGGCTGCCCAGACTGTGGGGCCGGTGGGGCTGTGCAGGGCAGGGGTTGCCCGGGGACGCTGCAGCCTCCCAGGGCTGCTCTGCCAGCTGCAGTGACGCTGGGTGCATCTGGGTGCTTATGGGGACAGGGCACGGTTCCCAAAGGACACCTCTCACCCTCTTCCCCGGTCTGCCCCTTGCCCTGTCGTGCCAGCTGCCAGCAGAACCAGCCTAGGTCAACACCACTGAAGGAATCAGCTCCTGGGAAGTTTCTGTTCCCAGCGTGAGATGCAGAGCGTTTCCTCTCCCCACCCCACCCTGCACGGGGACTTTACTCCTTCGCCTTCTGCTGTGCCCGCAGAAGCCTCTGGCAGAGGGCAGTGGGACACGGCCTGGGGGGGCTGGGGCTGCTCTCCCCTGTGAGGGCAGAGCCCAGGGGACAGTGCACAGGCGACGTGCATGCCCCTGCCCCATGCACCAGCACGTCCAGCCCCGGCACCTTTGCTTGGCTCCCAGCCAGGGCCCCCGCTGGGGAGTGCAGGCAAGGCTGAGCCCCCGGAGCCCCCCAGCTGTGTGTTTGGGACCCCCAGCTCGCCAAGCACACAGGATGCTGGGTGCCCTGCAGCCGGTCACAGTGGGCACGTGCCAACCTCTGCTGGGTTCGTGGGGCTGGAGTTTGAACTCCCAGTGCACACCAAGTAACACAAACCTGGACTTTGAGAGGGCGGTGGGCAGGGCAGGCTCCCCTGAGCACGGTCCCAGGCTTCCAGCCCTGCACCACTGCGGACCCCCGGGCTGCAGCGCTGTGCCCTCCTGCTTCTCCCTGCTGGTGTGGGGAGCCCCGGGTGGCTGTGCCCATGCCGGGGGGCCGATGGTGGCTCCCACCCCTCAGTGCTTGCAGACCCTGCCACGTGAGGGTGAACGGTGTGGTGCTGAGCACGAGCCTGGGCTTGGTACTGGGGCTGCCTGCCTGCCCTGGGGCAAGGTGGGGACGTGGTCGCCGGCTGTGACTCAGCTCTGTCCCTCCTTTTGCAGGGCCAGGCCAGTGCCCGGGAGGGACGCCAGGAGCCCTGGCCTGTAGCTGTGCCCCCTCCCGTGCTGCCCATCCCTGCTGATGCAATCCTGAGCTCCCGGTTTCGCCCCAACAGCAGCAGCACCTGGGATTAGCGCTCCTGCGAGGCTGGGAGGTGGGCGGGCAGAAAGCTCATCCCAGGGGCTTGTCACCACCCCGCGCCTCATGGTCGTTTAATCCTTCACCCATTAACTTGGACTAATAAACCCTGGGGGAGAGAGAGGTTAAAAGCCGTGCCTGCCGGGCCGAGCGGCCTCTGTGAGCGCAGCTCCTGCAGCCCCGCCATGGCGGCCGGGTTCTTCATCAGCAAGGCCGTGGGCGTCGTGTGCATCGTGCTGGCCGTGGGCGCTGTGGCCACCATCATCGCGCTGTCCGTGGTGTATGCCCAGGAGAAGAACAAGACAGCGAGCTCTGGCGGTGACACCAACACCAACACCACCACCACCTCGGCTCCTACCACCGCTGCCCCCAACAACCCCTGGAACCGGTGGCGGCTGCCGACAACACTGAAGCCTGAGCTCTATGACGTGACCCTGCAGCCCTTCCTGACGCCCGATAACAACAACATGTACATCTTCAAAGGGAACAGCAGCGTGACCTTTACCTGTGAGGAACCAACCGATCTCATCATCATCCACAGCAACAAGCTGAACTACACCATGCAGGGGGGGTTCCACGCCTCGCTGCGGGCGGTGGGCAGCACTGAAGTGCCCACCATCACCAAGACGTGGCTGGAGACCACCACCCAGTACCTGGTGGTGCAGCTGGGCGGCATGCTGACGAAGGGCCAGAGCTATGTACTCTCCAGCATCTTCACAGGGGAGCTGGCTGACGACCTGGCGGGCTTCTACCGCAGCGAATACGTGGAAGGAAATGTCACCAAGTAGGTGGGGGGCACGGCGGGGAGGTGGCTGTGCGTGCTGGGGAGCCCGTGCCCTCATGCACCGTGGGCGCAGGGTGCTTCTGCATGCCACCCTGAG